AACTGCTTACACCCGGCTTTCTCTAGTGTGCATCTGTCTGCCTCACTAACTGGGGCCTCCGGGCACCCCGTTTCCCGCAGGTGACTCAGCCTGTGCCCCTGCACGGGTGAACTGGCCTCCACTGCATGGAAATGCGTTTCTGTCTGGGGTGGACAGAGGCCACTGTGCCTTAGCCACTGTGACCTGTGCTGCGACGGGCTAGGGTGCATGTGGTCACTGCACTGGGCTGCCCCAGACTGTCCCAGGAGAGGCCTAGAGGGAGCAGCCGACCCGGGGCCCGAGCTCCGTGCTCCCAGGCCTCTCACACTGAGCTCCGCACGGCCGCCCTGGGTCCCCGCCACCAGCCCGGCAGGCGGCTGTCCCACCGCAGACTGGCTGCGCTCTCCTTCTGGACTCAGGTGCTGCCTCAGTCGCTCTCTCACCGCTGAAGAAAATGCCCGGCGCCCAGAGCTGGAGGCGGAGAGGTTTCCTGGCTCGCAGTGTGTTGCAGCCCGCAGTCGGCTGGCCCTTGGCAGGGGGGCGTGGCAGAGGGGCATCGTGGAGGAGGACAGTCCACGGCAGGCCAGGCGGCCAGCAGCCAGCACAGCAGCCCCCTTCTGCCCCTCACAGCTTTCCTTACCGCACGCCCTCAGCGGGGCAGCACTCACAGCAGGCTGAGGTGCACCAGCAGCACCCGCACGAGCCCGCCCGCCGGGCACCAGGGCCTCTCACGCTGGGCCCGGCCACTCCGCAGAGCCCCACCTCCGGCCGTCGGGAGACAGGCCCAACACAGGTCAAACAGCAGCACTGTTCCAACCTCCATCTCCCTCGCGGCCCTGCATGCCAAGCACGGCTTCAGGTCTGTATTGGCTGTTTGTAACCAGGGCTGGAGGGATCCGCTCTTTTCGGCTGCTCACTTACTGACAGGGTCTTTCAGTTTTGGAGTTGTTGTCTAGGACAGGGTTTCACTACCGAGTTCAGCCTGGCCTTGAACCCACAGCAGTCCTCCTGCCTCAGCCTCCCGAGTGCCGGAGACACAGCTGTGCGCCACGCGCTCAGCAGGAGCTCTAAGTTCTGTGAATTTGTGAATTTTCTAGATTTCCGTCTTAGCTGGGGAGTAGCTGGCAAACTTTTTCCCCTCTCCAGGTTGTCTCCTGATGGTTTCCTTTGTCGTACAGGAGCTTTTATCACTTTTCACTCATGTAAATTATTTAAATACAGAAGGACAAAAAAGCTGCGTATTTTTCATTAACTTTATAACAGAAAACATAAATCAGTCCCATCAGACTTACTCACCACAGAATGGACTGCTTGCGCAGAGCCCTGGAGCGTGGCCCTGGGGCAGGGCCGGGTGCCCTGCTGGAGGGATGTGTGACCGCCATGCCCTCCCACTGCCCGCCCCTTTGGGCTATTTCTCAGCGCTGGGGTCCCGTCCCGAGCGGCTTTGCTCGCCCGTGTCTTACCGTCTCCCATCAGATCCTCTCTGGGTTAGTATCCAGGTCTTTGATCCACTCTGATTTTAGTCCAGTGCACGGTGAGATACGCATCTAGGGTCAGCCTTCGGCCGTCTACACAGGCAGGGGCTGTCCTTCTCCCCGTGTGCTCTGAGCCCCTCCGTAGAAATCAAGAGGCTGAGTGTGCCTGGGCCGTTTCTGCATCCTGGATTCTATGCTGCTGATCCGCATCTGTTTCTGAGCCAGGACCGCGCTGTTCCTATTACAGCAGCCGCGGGATACAATTTGAAATCCGAGGCTGTGACGCCTCCTGCTTTGCTCTTGTTGCCCACAAATGCTTTTGCCATGCAGGGTCTCTTCTGAGTCCACATGGATTTGAGCATTTATTTTTCCAATTCTGTGAAGACGCCCCTGTCGGTTTAACTACAAACTGGTTTGGCAGCACGGCCACTGGGACAGTATTGGCTCTGCCTGTCCAGGCCGGGGCAGCTCTCCATCTTCTCTCTGTTTGATCTCCTTCCTCAGAGCACCGCAGTGACTGCAGGGAACTTCATTCTCTGGATGAACGTCTAGGTATTTGATTTCCTGGAGGATACCGTGAATGCCATTGTTGAGTTTTTTCTCTGTGTTCACTGTTGCTGTACAGACATGCTTTTCATTTTGTGTGTGATTTTCTATCCTGCCCCATCCCACAGCTGGTGGGATTCTGGGGCTCCTGTCAGGGGCTTTGGGGACCGCTGTGTGCAGGGTCACTGTGAATTCTCCCCTGCCCTGTGCACCCTTTTCCTCGCCCTCCCCCGGAGTACTGTGCGGGGAGCGGTGCCGGTGGGGAGCTGCACCCGGCCTCCTTCCTGATTTCGGGAGAGCCTCAGTGTTCCACAGCTGTGCGGTGCTGGCAGCAGCCTGGCCGCGAGGGGCTCTGATCAGGCCGAGGGACCAGGGATGGGCGTTCCCGAGGTCGCTGAGACGCTCCGGCTCGGGGCAGGGCTGTGCAGGCTCCTCCACACACTGCCCTCAGCCGGGTCTCCCGAGGCACGGCTTAGACGCACACGGCGAGCACACTCAGCGCAGAGGCCGTGGCCCTGCGCGTGGGGGCTGCTGCTTCTTCCTCCTCCACGTGCCTCCGCATTTGCACAAGTTTCATTTCCCCGTTTCCCTGCTTCCTCTCTCTCTTTTTCACTTTCCGCTCTGCCCTCCCTGGCTCCCTCCCCATTTGAACATTTCTTCCTGTTTCACAGTATCTATTATACATTTTGGTCCTGATTTACACTTTTGGTTTCTTACACTCAGAAACAATGCAGCATCTTCCACACGCGTCCACGGCCTCGAGGGGAATCCGCTTACCTAGAAATGTCCCCAGCTTATCACTCTTTACGGCAGAGTAGTACTCCACTGTATAAAAGTCACATCTTCTAGCTTAAATAGTTTTTTGAGAAATCACCACACTGATTTTATTTCCAAAGTGGAAACCAGTCCACACTCTCACCAAGAGTAAAAAAGGGTTCCTTTTCCCCCCGTAGCCTCGCCAGCATTTGTTATCGGTTGATTTCTTTATAAAAGCCATTCTTCTAAGTGAGATGAAACCTCACTTAGAGTGAGTGGTTTTAATTTACATCTCTTGAGTGACCAGTGATGCTGAACATTTTTTATTTTTATCTTTTTTATTTTTTGGTACTGGGGATCGAATTCATGACCTCACACTTGCTAGCTGGCGCTCAGGCCACTGAGCTAAATCCCTGGCCCTGCTGAACATTTTTCCATACATTTATTTGTGGTTTCTATTTCTTCATCTGTGAAGTGTGTTCATCTTGAGTCCATTTCTGGATCGGGTCTTTGAATTTAGGGGATGAGGTTTTTTATTTTTGACTCAGTCTGTTCTAGATATTAGTCCTTTGTTTGAGGAATGCTGGCAAAGTTTTTCCCATTGTGTGGGTTGTCTCTTCGCTCTGCTGGTGGTTTCTTGCTGAGCAAAAGCATCTCCCTGAGAGGAGGTGGCGGGTGCGATTCTTTGGGACAGCTCCCGTGCGGCCAGGGCTTTGTTCTGAGGTCTCCGCCGGCTCCAGGGTCCTCTGCGGCTCCCCCCACCCCACTCCGCCCTGTCCCTGCCTCACTGTTTAGATCTCTGCCCGTTTCAGTTCTAGCTCGGCGCATGGTGGAAGACGGGCGTCTGCAGTTGTGTTTCGTTTTGTTCTCTGGCTGCTTCTCTTACCCCCGTGTGGACTCAGCCATCGGGGTTTTCTCCTCCTGGTCAGTGCCCACTGGACCAGCTCGGGGGGAGAGAAGCTTTGGGAGCTTGCCTTCTTCGCACACACTTCCGTTGGTTGTTAGTGTGTGTGTGTGCGCACACACACACCGACAGTGGAGCTCAGTCATGGCAGAGAGACTGCCACCGGCGTGGATGGCTCTGCAGGTGGCGTCTGATACCCTGGACACCGATCTCAGCTCTGGCAGCCACGTCCACCTCTTCAACTGTGTTGCCAGGAGAAACCCAAACCCGCATCAGGTCCCCGACTCCCCGAGCACCGTCCAGTGCACCGCTCTGCCAGAGACCCTCACCCCACTCCCAGAGCGCACAGGTCGGGCCACGCCACTCCTCACAGGAGCCTGGGAAGCCTCGGGAGACCAAAGAAGAGGAGGAGGGAGGGTGAGTCTGTCAGCGGGGTGAGAAGAGAAACGGCAATGGCCGGAAATCACACCAGATCCCCCCACACACACTCCGGAGGGGGCTTCACGGCCAGAGCAGGGCCGGCGTGCAGCGCTGGGGAGGGACACACCGCTGGGACCCCGGGAAGGCCGGCCGGCCCCCTGGATACACACACACAGGGTGGCGAGAGCCGCCTGGCTGCATGGACTGCAGGCTAGTTCTCCTCTGGAGCCCAAAGATGCTTCCTGTGTGCACACGTGCTAGACGGAGCCGGCAGGAGGAGCGGGAGGATGAGGAGGAGGATGACAGGAGATGACACCGGGAAGGAACAGGAAATCGCCAAAACCTGCTGGGTGCGAAGCCCCGGGCTCTGTCACGGTCCTGTCTTTGCTGGAGTCTGAGCTCAGCCCTGAGTCCTCTCACATGGTGCAGCCGGGACCTGCCCTCGCGCCTGGACGGAGACGGGGCCTGGCCCCAGTGCCCCTCACTGGGCCCCCAGTTTGCCTCCTCTCGCCTCCCAGGCTGCAGCGGCCTCTGAGTCCCGGAGGCTCTGGGCCTGGCCATCCTGTTGATGATTGGAGGGTGGGTGCTGGGCCCTGTGGGCTCCCCACTCCCTGCCTGGATCCCGGCTCCCTTCCCCACAGCAAACCCTGCAGTGGCCTCCTCCTTCCTCCTGAGGTTGGCACTGTGGCAGCCCCAGGCCGGGCATAGCCATCCACCTGCCTCATTCCCGCTGGCTTCCCAGGCCCTGCAGGCAGCTCCCCGCAGTGGACAGCAGCAGGCTGGCATCCTGCGATGTGCACACTCCAGCACGAGAAGAGCCAGGTGGTGGCTGCAGCAGGGCCAGCCCAGCCTCCTCCCCGAGGGCCCTCTCACACTCGCCAGCCTCCAGTGTCACCGATGCCCTGGCCGCAAACATGTACCCGCTGTGTCCTTCCCGGAGGAGACGGCAGAAGGTCAGGAGCCATTTCTGGTGACACCGGGCTCCCCTCTCCCTGGCCTGCCAGCCTGCCCGGAGGTGTCCTGAGGGGACCTGGGTGTGTCCGTCCATCCTCTTCTGTCCCTCGCTGCTCCACCTTGCGGTCAGGTTGGCCTCCCGCCCTCTGCTTCTCCTCACTTCTCGCTGGCAGTGGCGCCTTCCCAGCTCCCCACCAGGGGAAAGCCGTCCACGGCCCTGCCCGGCCTCTGCGGCCAGCAGCTCCCCTGGCCCTGGAGCAGGGTGGAGAGCGCAGGGCTGCATCAGAGCAGCAGGGAGAGTTCGGCACCCATGGAGCCCGGTCCTGTGGTCAGCCATCCCTCTGCGAATGCTCTCCCCTCTTTAGTTCGAGGTACCGGGCCTGAACCCAGGGCCTGCACACTGAGCTCCATCCACAGTCCTTTTCCACTTTTGACTTTGAGACCAGCTCTCGCTAAGTGGCTCAGGGGTCCAGGCTGGGCTCAAAGTGCGATCCTCCTGCCTCAGCCTCCATGTGGTGGGGTCACAGGCGTGCACCCCCGCATCTGACATGGAGTCAGTCTCCCAGAGAACCCGGAAGGACCCACACCCTCCTACCAGGCGGGAAGGTGGCTGTGCAGCTCCGGGGTCTCCTCAGCAGTGCACACACATGCATGGTGTGGCTCAGGCAGAAATGTACCGCACCCCCAGCTCCAGGCCGGGAGCGCCAAGGCCCAACCTGAGAGCCAAGTCGGCTGAGCTCTGGGGCTCGGCCAGGTCACAAGGCTGGACCTGACCCCGTCTGGTGGAAGGTGGCAGCAGGCATGAGGAAGCAGGAGGGGGTGGCAGGGGCATGCAGCTGGAGAGGAGCCCTCCCCACGAGGCGGGGAGCAGCACACGGCCAGCACTGTGTACAAATGCTCGCACACAGCACACTGAACCCACGCTCTCGGGGGACGTCCTGAGGCCACCGTCCCAGTAAGGAAGGCCCAGAAACAATGCAGTACGCCAAGCCAGGCATCCCGCAAAGGGAAACAGCCCCAGTGGGAGGCTGGAAACCTTTTCAGCACTTAAAACAGCTTGCTTCAGCTTGCCTAGCGAGCTCTCAGCTCCTTAGCAATGAGAACAGCTTGGGTTTGCAGACAGCACTTTATTGAAGGACTCCGACTTCAGGCTACACTTCCCGCAGGTGATCCCGGGGTCTAACGTTGGAAAGCACGGGAGACGGCGCCACTCACCCTCCGGGCCTTGCTCTGGTAGCGGATGGCCTTCTTGGTCTCCTCCTTGGCGTGCTCCACGTAGTCCGTGGCGCTCATGACGTTCTTCTCGATGTTGTTGATCATTTCACCCTAAAAACAAGAGGAAGCAGCCTGAGATGCTATCGGTGCAGGACACGGTCCCCCCACAGGTGACAGAGCCTTGGAGCGGACAGGACGTGCGCGTCACGGACACGGAGCAGCGGGTGGGCGGTGAGGCCGTCGTCTGTGCGCCAATGCATGTGATGGAGGCTGAAGTAGCACTGGCACAGGGACACGGGACGGCAGGCTCAGGGACATGCCACCGCAAGCCCCCAGGACCCACCAATGTTTCACGACCACGCAAAACATTGCACACAAAGGACGGAGGACGACAGCTCTCGCGATGGGCAAACCACTGCTGCTTCTTAAAGTATCGGCAAACCAAGTACGGCTACTGCCCGCTGCCCCCAGAGCAGCAGTGGACGGAGGCAGGGCGGGGCTGCCTCGGTGCCCAGGAGGAGGAGTGCGTGGCACAAACGTTACCTGGGCTCTGTCCACCGGGAGACAAAGTCTGGCCGCAAAGAGGAAGCAGTAAAGAAGGAGGACAGGTGACTGACAGGCTGAAGGTCACTCCCTACCGGGCACTGCCGTGGATTCGGAGAGCAGCAACGCAGGGACTTCTCAAAGGAAATGGGAGCTGGGCCCCAGCGTGGCGCCCTGGGCGCGGAACGGGGAACCAGAAGCTCTGGGGTTGTTTAAGTCTCTACAGGATGGACTTACTCCAAAGCTAGCTCCCCTCGGCTGCTGCCCGGAAGGAAGCTGCTACCATCCCAGCCCCCACTGTCCTCACAGCACCGACAGCTTCGCGTGCCTGGCCCCGTCCCCAAGGCTGTGAGTCCCCGCTGGCTGGCACAAGCTCCACCCACAGGTGATGGAGGCGCTCCTGGTCAGCAGCGTTCTCCATGGTGATGATCCCTGGCCAGCATCCCCAGGGCACGTGGACAGCTGGTGCCACCTGTGGGAGCCTGCTGGGCTCCACATGTCAAGGGCCAAGGGGCAAGCGGCCACCAGCCTGGGGTGTCTAGACAGACATCAGCTGCATCCTGGCAGCCTGAGTTCTCAGCCCCTCTCCAGGGACAGCTGCCACACGGCCCCGGCAGGAGACGCACGCTGCCCAGAACATCACGTCCCGTGGGCCACAGCGGACATCCATCCACTAGGAACACCACGCCCCATGGCTAGGTTCCCACTGAAAGTTTCTGCACTCAAAGCCACACGGGTGGATCCGCCGTACGCAGGTCCTCTCCCTCCAGCCACTCAAGAACCGCAACACACCCCACTGAGGACTCCTGGAGGACCGAGAGCCTGTGTGGGCGGCCATCTGGGGGCCGATGGCTGTGACCACAGCTCAGGCTTGGGCCAGTCCCCTCCTCAGAAAGCCCCGCCTGTCCCCGGGTTTGTGGGGTCACCCGCGTCCCACGGTTCTCTCCGTGGCCAGGCCTGGGCAGGCAGCCCTCACCTGCGTCTCCACGAACATGGCCATGTCCATGAACATCTCGTGCAGCTCGCGGATGCTGGTCTCCAGCTTCAGGATGTCCTTGTGGCGGGACTCGATCTCGTTGAGCGCTTGCCTGGTGATGTGCGAATCTGAGATGATCTTGGAGAGACACAAGGAGAGGGCGCGGTAAGGGCGCTCGGGCGGCACGGGTCCCACCGCGGGAGGGGCCGCGGCCTCTACTCACATCCGAGGTGAAGATGGACGGCTTCCCGCTCTCCAGCATCTCCTCCAGCTCCTCGTCCGTGGTGGTCTTTCCGGCTGGGGACAGAAAGGCACTCAGCGCCCTGCACCCACCTGACCGGGCCACCAAACTCCCAACAGGTCCCTCCCCAGGCTGCAGTTCCCACAAGCTCAGGTGGGCGTCCGGCTGAGGGTGGAAGTGACCACACCTATGCTAAGGGACGCGTCCCTACAGTCCAGGGCAGCCAGACAGAGGGACTGGCAGACAGATCACAGCAGGTTCTCCAGCACCACAAAGGTACTGCAAGTGCTGCGAGTCCCTCATTTAGAATTTCTAAGGCCAAGTACAAAGGCACAGGCCTGTAATGCTAGCACGTGGGAGGTGGAGGCAGGTGGAGCAACTTGAGCTCAAGGTCACCCTGAACTCCGTAGTGAGACCTTGTCTCAAAAATACAACAGAAACAAAATTTTTGAGGGTTTTACGGAAATACTAGATTTGGTAGGTGGCCAGACAAGGGAGCTAGGAAAAGTGTGGCTTGTAAAAGCTGATGGAACAGGCCAGCAGCAGCCATGTGGGCCCCGCAGGAGAAACAGGGAGCCAGCTCCCCTTCCCACGAGCCCGCGGTGCACGGACCAGGAGCCAAAGACCCACACGCACGACCCACCTCCCCAACCCCCGTAAGCAACAGCAGATTTGGAGGGACCCGGACGGGCTGGGCGGATGGCGACTGACGCTAGAAACAGTTTAGTGCCAGTATTGTTTCACTGGCTCTGCCGGCCCAAGGCCGACAATCTGGGCATCTATTTAGAGGACAGTAGTATGCGGTACAGCAACCGTGGGGCGCCCCTTCAGGTGTGCTCCACGGCGGGAACCCGAGCAAGCCGGGAGACCCTCCGCCATCCCGCCGGGACTCACTGATTTCCAGCTGGCGCTGGATTCGGCCTTTGCTCCGCTCCCGAAACAGAGTCTGAGCTTCATTGTACTCTGTCATGACCTCCACGAACTTCCGAGACAGCACGGAATGCTGCGGGCAGGAAAGGGTGGCGTTAGAGCACCACGCGGCCTCATAACACAGCAGTGCCCAGCGCCCAGGACACCAGGCCAGCACGCTCCTCCTGCAGGGGGAGATCGGGCAGAGCCCAGCCGGGGACAGAGCAGCACCGAGAACATCGTGCGCACTACCTCTGTCCTGGCCTGGCACCAAAGGGGTCTCGGGCAGAATCAGCAAGAGCTCAGAGAGCGGAGTGCGCCCCAGTGAGGGGCTGGGGGGCTTGGGGCGGGGTCTGTGCCTGGTCCCGGGCGACCTCAAGCCGGGGGGGTCTCAGGCTCCCTCACCCATTCTAGGGCTGGCGAACACAGGCCGATCTCAGGGCCTGACTAGGAGCTGGCTGCCGTAAACCTGCCGCGCCCGACCCCACACACACCAGCGGGGAGACGCCCGGGAGAGGCGCAGCTGGGTGGAGGGAAGAAGAAGGGCCGCTCTCGGCTGTCCAAGGGATCCCCACCCGGGCCTGCGCGTCGGACACACTGGGGCACAGCCTCCCAGCACTGAACTTCACAGCGACCTGCGGGCCACAGCATCACATCCATGCCCTGGCCACGGGCAGCTGCGACGCAGGCACTGAACACCGGGCCAGGGCCCCCGCGTACTGCTCTGCCACCCCACATTCCACGCCCCGTGGCACAGACAGGACCCAGGGACTCCGCTCCCGAGAGACAGATTCAGACCCTGGGCTGGGAACACATGCGTGTGTACAGCCCACGTGTGCACAGCCCGACATGGCAGCACCTGGGGCGGGGGAAGCAGAGCCCGGCCCTCCCGAGTCGCTTCCGTCAAACGGAGGCCCGAAGGCAGACCTGGGTTCTGCGGATGCGCAGGTCCACTGAGGTCCGGCTCCCGCTCTCATCCTGATCAAAGGTCTGCTCGATGGCTGGAAGGAAACGGGTCGGGGCTTTCAGGGTGACGCCCGGGGTCCTCGGTCAAACCTCAGGCTGCCCTCCTGGCGTCTTCCAAGCACATCTCCCCACGACAGGAAACACTGGCCGGGAGCCCTTCCCTGCCCACACACACACTCCCGTGAACTTCAGAGCCAGGGACCGCAAGGAGGCGAAGGGGCCAGGGGCGTCACGTGGGGACAGGGCGGAGGGGAGCCAGAAGCCGTGACAGGTCCCAAGTTAGGTCTGGCCTGAGACGCCTGCCAGGGATGTCACACTGCTCCAAAGCAACCTCTCACCAGGCCCAGGGCCGCTAGCAGTCCCAGCGGTCAAAAGCAGAGACAGGAAGAGCTCTCAGGCTCAAAGCCACCTGGGCAACAGGGTGACACCCACCTCAAAAACAAACAGGCCGGGCGTGGTGGCACACTGCCGTCATCCCAGCCTTAGGGAGGCTGAGGCAGGAGGACTGCTGCAGCTTCAAGACCAGCCTGGGCTACAAAGTGAGCCCAAGTGACCCGGTCTCAACAAGATCAATAAATAAAGCAGTCACCAAAATTAAAAAGCAACCAGACACAGTGCACATGCCTGCAATCCCAGAACCAGGAGGCTGAGCCAGGAGCAACACCACAAGTCTGAGACAGCTGGGCTACCTACTGAGTTGAAGGCTACACATTTAGATCCTATTTTAAAAGAAAGAAAGAGAGAGAGAGATAAAGAGAGAAAGAGAAAAAGAAAACGAAGTATACATCAAGTTAACTTACACCAAAATAACATAAACAAGAACTATTTAAAGTGATGTAAAAGCCTAGGAATTTACCAAGCAATGCCTCCTCTTACTGGATGGGTAGTGCTCCTTCCAAATGCACACAAACAGTTTGTTATGATACAGTCATAGCTTTTGGAAACGTAAGAGGGTAAAAAAGCCGAAAAGAGCAAAGAAGTTACCCACATTCCCACCACGGATGCTCAAGCCTTAGACTTACATTTTAGCTTCGTCCGAATTTTGTTAGCAGTTTTCTTGATTTCTTTGTTCAGGTCTTCGAGTTCTTCTTTGATTTCTTTAAAAATTTAAAATAAGACATCTGAGCTACAACACTCAAGCAAGGCTGATTGGTTAAGGGACACAGCGGTCTCCGTGGACACCTGAGTCCCCTCTTACCTCCACCCTCCCCGTGGAAGGCCTTGGTGGCGCTGCTAGGTGGATGCCACGTGGCCACGGCCCTGCAGTGGCCTCTGTGCACACACTCGAGTGAGCAGTGCGGGTAGGTAAGACAAGGCTAAACGCCCCCGACCCCACCCAGCCACACCCGAAGCAGGGCTGCCAGGCCCCCTGACACCTGTGCCACTCTCGAGCTCTGGAACCACACGGGCCTGGGCTCCTGTGAGTCACAGCAGTGACTGAGGAGCAGTCTTGTGGTCCCACAGCACCATCCAGACCTGCCGTGTGCGGACCGCGTCCCCCACGGGGCGTGCAGACCACGCCCGGGGCCCTCTAAGTCTGACTGGGCAGAGACGCACAGAGCTCGACAGCCTCGGGGGAGGTGGAGCACAGCCCGGTGGCCCAGGCGACCACGGACGGTGGGGACCTGCAGCTGCGCTCACATGGAGGCTCTGCTGCATTTCCTGCAGTACAAGTCGGCTCTGCCATTTATAAGCAAAAACAGGCAGCTGATCGATCGGAGCTGTTGCAGCGGAGGGGGCTGGGGAGGAGTGATGGGGCGAGCAGCCCCCCAGGGGTCTCCTGGACCCATGGCAGGGCCAGGGGAGCCCCCACATCCAGACGCTATGATCCAGGATAGCACCGGCCGGGAAGGGAGGAAGCCCTCACCCATCCACCCGCTCGCAGGAAGAAGCAGCATCTGCAGTGTCTGCGAGGTAAGGGACCACCTGTGCCGCCCACAGGAACCGCGTGCAGAGCCCGCTGACCGCTGGAGAGCCACCCTGTGCTCTCCTGCGCCATGGCCCAAACAGGAAACCTGTTTCTTTGGGCACACAGGGTGGGCAGCCAGACCCCACATCCTACTCCACGGCTCACAAAAGACACAAGCAACAGCTGCACCTCAGGGCCACAAGGCCTCGGTGAGACGCTAACCACTCTCAGTTCCCCAGACCACAGGCCTGTGCTCTGGCCGCGAACTCCTCAGCAGAAGCCACCGGACCTCCCTCTCCACAAGCCTCGCTGGGACCTGAGCGCCTGCGCCGGCCAGAGGACCGCTGCGCTCCTAGACCTATGCTCCCGGGTTAAAAGGCGTCCTCGTGCAGGGTTTCCAGAGCTGCAGGACGCGGGGCTCCCCGGGGAGCACCGAGGAAGCCTACGCAGGGCAGGGCCAGGCGGGCTGGCCACAGAGGCCAGCTAGGAGTGGCCAGGCCCTCAGGCTGCGAAAGACTGTGCCAGAGCAGGGGCTGGACCGGGGCGGACACCCCCTTCCACAGCAGGCCCCCAACGGGCCGGCAGCCCGGTGCGCGCCTCCCCACTTCAGTGCCACCCGCTGACTCCTTCAGACACAGAGCCCAAGCCTTGGCTCACGCTTTCCTCCAGGGCTGAGAATGAGTGCCCTTCTCCACGTCTCCCCAGCGCCCAGGCTGCAATCGGGGACTAAGCTCAGCACGGTCAGGACAAACAGCCGGAGCCGCTGGGCACGCCTGTCACCCAGCACTCAGGAGGCTGAGGCAGGACAGTCGCTGCAAGTTCTGGGCCAGCCTGGACTACGCAGGGAGACCCTCCTCCAAACAAAACAAAGCAAGCAAGAAAGAACAGTACGAGGAGGGGAACCTCCCTCTTCACAGAAAGCAATCAGCAGGCGCCACTCGGCAGGGTGACGGGAGGAGAGCCCTATTTCTATACCCGCCCAGCAAAGGGACAAGAGGTGAGAAGTGACGCAGGGCCGCTTCCTTAGCGTGAACCCCACCTGCCGGGAGCACAGGTCACGAGGGAGGGTGGGGGGCTGGCGGGGCTCAGCCCCGAGGAACAGCGCCTGCGCAGGGGGACCCGGCCTCTCAAGGCAGAGTGGGGTGACTCCCACAGCCCAGTGCAGCCCGGCAGCACCCCCAGCTCGCGCGGCTCCTCACCCCGGCGGAGGGCCTCACATTCCTCACCCTGGCACACGCACTCACACCCAGGGCACGCTTCGCCCACACCCTCACACCAGCCTTGCACAGCTTACATGGCACAGCCATGCACGGACACCGAGCTCTCGGGCTGCACACAGGCAGACCTCAGCTGTGTGTCCTCGGGAACCGCTCACAAGGCCCAGCTGTGCACTGGGCCACTCGGGAGCCTGCAGGCGGCACCCAGAGGCCGGCACAAGGGCTGACTCGGCATTGCTTGTGCAATGCTAGCACCGTCGGTGCAAAGTGAGGGCAGACGACAGCAGCTGGTGCAAAGTGCCAGATGGACAGACGTACAGGTAGACACATAAACAGACAGACACACACAGGCAGACAGGCAGACAAGAGTTACAGACACACAGACAAGTCAATAAACACGCAGACAGGCGTACAAGCCAACAGACATACAAACATGCAGACAGTAACACAGACAAGTCAATAAACACGCAGACAGGCATACAAGCCAACAGACATACAAACATGCAGACAGTAACACAGACACAGACAGACACACACAGACCCGCCCCGGCCCGAGGCTTACTTCCTTCGGGGTTGGGTGCGGACAGGATAATGCTGTGGTTCTTCTTCACGTCCTCCACGTACTGCGCTATCCTGGCCGTGCTGCTTCTGATCTCCTCCACCTGGGGAACAGCGGTCGTCGGAGCTCACCCTGCACCGCGCAGTCTGAGGGATGCGGCTGAGCGGCGACTTCCAAGGAGGAGCCTTCACCTCGTCCCGCAGGTCCCTGCCCACCAGAGCCCCCTGCCACGCCCCGGGCAGGCGCCAGTCAGCCCATGCCAGCAGGTCTCCCAGGAACCACGGCTCCCTCCGGCTGAGGATGGCGCCAGCAGCCGGGTCCCAGGGCCCCGGGAGGCCACAGCCGCAGCTGACAGTGGCTGCCTCCTCCCTGGTAAGAGCCCTGCCTGGTGGCACCCACAGCCTGGAGAGGCCACCTCAGCTGGGCAGCGAGTCCTAGAACCCAGTCACACCCCCTGACCCCCAGGAACGTGCTGAGGGGCGCGTCACTGCACCTCCGTCCCGCAAATGTCACAGCACGTGCCTGGACACTCAAGAGACCACTGGGGCACCGGGCACTGCGACAGCACGGGCCCCTGCGGCAGGGCACCGAGGGCTGCCGTGTCCACCCAGCATCGTTTTCAACGCGGTGGCTGCGACGGTACAGAACATCTACGACAGCCCCCGGGCGCTCTCACCTGGTGGAAGAAATCATCCATGAAATGGTCGTCGACAGCCACGGCCGTGTCTCCATCGTCGTTTCTCCTACACTGAATGGAGACCAGGAGGCGTCACCCGGAAGTCATTCTCACACAGGCGCACCCGCCGGGCTGGGAGACAGCAGCAGGGGACCGGGGATGGCCCGACGGAGCACAGGCTGGCCAGACCCAGCCGAGGACTGGGACCCCGACTGGCCCACGACAGCTGAGGGGGGCTGGAGGGAAACCCAGGGCACGGTGCCTGATTCCAGACCTGCCCTCTGCTCTTGGTCCCCTGGACCTGTGTCATCCTGTGCAGGAAATCACTGGGGCTGCGTACTCACATCTTCCAAGCAACACTAACACTGCTGACCGCGCCACCGACTCCTGGGAGCACACAGTGACACTCAGAGCTTCCCAAGTCCCCGAGGCACCCCACTCTCCCTGGGGAACAGCCTCAGCCCTGCTACACACCATCTAATGATGCCGGGATCTTACAGAGGACCGGGCGACACCACAGAGGACAAAAGCACCCCGAGGACCCCCAGCAAGAGCTGGAAAGGTGCTGCTCATCAGAAATCAGCTCAAGAAACCATCAGGGGACACAAACCCAGGCGCTGCCTTGGGCCAGAGCCGCCACCATGCTGTGAGCAGGGCCCGGGACGGATGGACCCCAGACACTGGCAGGCCGAGGCACCTGACCGGAAGTTAAAGCAACAGGGGAGAAGCTCTGTGCCCAGCGACAGGGCAGAGGGGCAGGTACTAGAGGACTCACCCGAGGCCACCAGAGCCCTGGGATGGCACTCACTGTGCGTCCTGCCACACAGTGGGCTTGGGGACCTGCCAGATCGCTCCCCAGGGCCCCTGTGAGTCAGCCCACGCTCCAGACAGTAGCCACCTCCAGGCACGGAGGGAGGTGCCAGGCCAGCAGAGGGCAGGTGCAGGAGCCCATCGGCCTCTAACCTCTGTGCGAGCCCAACACACTGCTGGAGCCCACTACCTCGAGCCCAGCGACAGCAACTACACGTGCTCAGGAAGGAGAACAAACCCTCCCCCTCCCGGGCCACCACCTCTCACCAGGACGAAAGGAACCTGGCCCAAGAATCCCAGCAGCCTCTTCCGGCCCCCAGGCTGGCAACCTCCTCAGGCACCCAGGCCACCGCCGGAGATAAGGGGTCCCGCCCCTTACGGGAGACAGGATGCTGCTGCTGCTCAGAGATAGCCAGGGAGAGGCGTGCCGCGTCCTTCCTCCCTGGGTTGCAGCGTGGGGCACCGCCAGGCCAGCCGCAGGAGAGGAGTAGCCCAGAGGACAGCTTTGGACAGCTGCGGATGGAGGCCAGGACCTCACAGCCCTGCCTTGCTCCCTGGTCCTGGACACACACATCCACCCACCCGCAGGAGCCCACTCTGAGTGACCACATGCAGATGCCGATACCAGGCTGCGTCAGGCCACGCTGGGGCAGCAGAGAGGGGCTGCTCTGCCTGCACGACCTGCTCTCCATCTCCACCTCCACCCCCGGGGAGGAAGAACGGCCCTGCAGACCCTGCCTGCTGCCCTGGCCCCTCTTGTTCCACGGGCCTCCACATCCTGGCTGGACATAGACTTCAGCTGGGCCTGGGGTCAGCTGCTTGGCTTTGGCACTCAAGGCTCAGGGCCAGCCCCAGCACATGACACTGTCACTCAGCAGCAGCAGCTGTCACGTGCGGTCATTACACGGCATGCACATGACACTGCAGTCCTGTAGGTGGCTGCTCCTGGACCCCAAGGACCATGAGACAGGGACCACACCTAGCAGCTGCTACCACCTGGCTCTCAGCTCAGGGAAGCTCCGGGCCCATAGGTGCCAGCTGTGCCCTCTCCCTGTCAGGGAATTCACAGACCCATGCAGAGCCTGGGGGCTGCCATAAGGAGCCCGGGGTCCCCATGGCCACAACCTATCAGTCCCTAGCCACACCACACAGCAGTCAGCAAGCGAAGCCACCCACAGGATGGACTCGGGGAGCCTGTGCTATCCCGGCAGCCAGGAGAGAATCTCACCCGTCAGTCCCAGGGGGCACGGGCACTGCAGGTCCCTCAGGGCAGTGGCAGCCATCAGGGACCCTGCGCCTCCTCCAGGGGCGGAACTCAGGCACACAGCACCAAGCCCCCCTGGCCAGGAAGAGCCTGTCACCCTGAGGCCTCGAGACAGGGAAGGTGACCTCTCCATGGCCTGCACACAGGTCTGCCAAGCCTCCCTCCTCCGGCTCTTCCCACCTGAGATTCTCCGGTCTCAGACAGCAGGAAACGCCAGGTGCCGTCCTGGGCCTGCCCCGGGCTGCTTCCTGTTGTCCCATCCCTCATTCCCACACGGGTGACGATCACGGGACAGCTGTGCTATGACAGGGCCTTGCCCAGTCCTCCAGTGCCACATCGAGGGCTGCGTTCAGTGCCAGGCCTTGAGGCAGCATTTCCCTAGCGGGAGTCCTGGTTCACCCCCAGAGTCAGATAAAAAAGCCTTCAAGATTCAACTTTCCATTTCATCTAAATATCAAAGATTTCTCCTCAAAAAAAATTTATGGAAACCAGGCATGGTGGCATATGCCTGTAATCCCAGCACTCGGGAGGCTGAGGCAGGAGAATCACTGCAAGTTCCAGACCAGCCTGAGCTACAGAGTAAGCTCAAGGCCAGCCTGAGCTGCGTAGGGAGACCTGTCTTAAAGAAAAAGACCAAAAGAAAAACTCTTAAAAACAGCATGACAAGCCAGGCTCGTGGCACACACCACAGCACTCGGGAGGATGAGGCAGGAGGATCACCTCGAGTTTGAGGCCAGCCTGGGACATGGACATATGCATGTGCTGTGCGCACTGAGCCAGGAGTCGCAGAGCACAGGCGGAACCCAGGTGGGGCCCTGGGGACGGCCATCCTTCCAGTGCCACATGGGGCGGGGCTTTGCATAGGCAGCAGTTGGGAGTAAACGGTCTCATCCTACCGGGTGCACTGAGTGCTTTCTCAAACACAATTACTCAGGCAGACGAAGGCCTGGGGGCCGCTGTCAGGGTGTGGCTGGCCCCTGGGACACTCCTTTCTCTCACAAAGCTATGGTCAGCTTTCTCTGCTCCCCATGCCCACCCCCTGCATCCTGTGCACGGTGTCACGCTGTGCTCCCGTCTTCTGACAGGCCCAGAGACCTAGAGTCCCCCATGCCCACTGGCCTCCACGCAAGCACCAAGCCGCAGGGGTCACAGTACCACACACACCATGCCCACGCCACCCTCCCCGGGCACCACAGACCCGGCTGGGCTCAGGGCCGCTGCACAGCACCCGGTTCCGCTGCCTCAGCCTAAACCCAGCAAGGTCGAGGGGCGGAGGCGGGGCCTACTGGGCTGCACCCCTATGGGGCGATCATGTTGGTCCCAGGACCAGACCTGGGAGGGACAGAGGAGGACAAGAGGGCCTGACAGGAGCCTGTAGATGCAGGGCAGGGATAGCTGCGCCCACAGGGTCACCGGGAGCACAGGAAGCCCACAGGCGCCGCTCCCACAGCCTCTCCACCTTCCTGCCTCCCCGGCTGCTGGGCTACGGTGCAGGCACCAAGTCCATCCCAGATCCGAGAGGCCGGGGGAGAAGTGCCCCTCAGCATCGGCCTCCTGGGCCCACGCTCCAGACAGTAGCCACCTCCAGGCACGGAGGGAGGTGCCAGGCCAGCAGAGGGCAGGTGCAGGAGCAGCTGGGCAGAGGCACGAGGCAGCAGGGCAGGCAGCGCCCTTCCACAGCCCGGGAGCCGGCAGAGGCTCCGGGGCTCAGCCCTTCTCAGAGCCTGGCTGTTCTGCTCGAGCAAATCTAATGTCAGAGCAAGAAGCGAGCATGCAAACAGGTACGTATGACTGTTAATCACAGAGAACCTGCTGGCTGCCACAGGAGGAGCTGAGAAAGAATTAAACATCAAATACCAAGGCTGTTCAAAAAAAAATTAAACATAAAACAGTTCCGCACTGAATAGCATATTTTAAACCGTAAGTACATCCACAAATAAAGTCTCGTATTTAGACATGAAATGGTAAGTGTGACGTTTCCAAACGCCCCTTTCTTTCCCGTCACACTGGGGATGGAGCCCAAGGAGGGCTGAGCTACACTCCCAGCCCTTTTCACTGTTTTATTCCGAGACAGGGTTTCACTAAGTCGCTAAGTTAGTTGTCCAGGCTGGCCTTGAACTTACGATCCTCCTGCGTCAGCCTCCCAAGTACCTGCTCAAAGGTTCCTATTGCATGAATTACAATCTTGACAACACTCTGCACCGATTGTACAAATATGAGCTGTCAAAAAATAGAAACCGGCTGGGGATTTAGCTCAGTGGTAGAACACTTGTCAGGCAAGCAGGAAGCCTTGGGTTCAGTCTCGGCACCAAAAGGAAAAAAAAAAAAACTTTTTTTAAGCTACAAAAAATAGAACCATCTGAGTAGTGTTTCCTGCTCTCAAAAAGACTGCTTGTGATTCACCACCTGATCCCGAGGAGGAAAAGCAACATTTCACTTGTCATAGGTCTCTGAATGAATGCCACTCAGCTAGAGTATTTGTTTATTCTCAGACAAACCATTCCCATGGCTGAAATCTGCTCGACTTTAACAGACATAACCATCTGCAGTGATGAACTTGTTTTGGAAAGGTGACCAGAAGGCCACCCGGGCCCCTTTGCTTGCGGACCGGCTACCTGCTCTCAATTCCTCCCCCAACTGTGGTCCTGGCCCCCACCCTGGCTGCTGCCCCGAGTGCTTGGTTCCTCTCTGAGCCTCCCTCTGCCTGGGTACTCAGGGCCTGGCGGGGACCCGGCAGGGACCCCGTGCTCCAGGTGTCTGCTCCATGGATTCGCCCCACTTTCTGTACACCAGAAGCAGCAACCACCCCAGCTGGCTGCGGAGTCCGGGGGCCGCAGGCACCGCCCAGAAGCTGTCTGCACCCAGAAACTAAACCTGTCAGTGCAAAACGTGCAAATGCAAACCGCGTCAGACAAACGCAGCTCTCTCCTTCCCAAGCAGTTCTCGGTGGTGCCTGTCTTTCAGCAGGACGCACGGAAGCCCAGGAAAGAAAGCTTCTCTGGCGGCATCTCGAGGCATTGGTCACTGCAGATGAGCCACTTTGACTTTCAAAGTCAAACATTAAATTCACAGAAATACCAGCCACAGAGAAACCTGGCCGTTAATCGGCACTCAGTGACTCCCAACCACTTGGAAATGACATATCGGGAAAGGATATGACAACTGGTGGCATCAAGGCAGCCTTTTAAACGTTAAAGCGATCAAACATGAAGGATGTGAAGCCAGGGCTAACTATTCGCACACAGAGGGCTGCTCTGAGACTTTCCTGAAGACGTGAAGAGTAGTGAATGTTAACAGTGCGTGTAACTGCGCACCACGTCCTCTACCACCTTCTCACGGAGCTCTGCATGTTAAATAATGCTGCTTCAAAACTCCCTTTATGAGGTACAAGAGAGGCACTGTCATCTCTGCTTAAGTGCAGGACAGGAGGGGCGCGATGGCGCACGCCTGTCACCCCAGCACCCGGGAGGCTGAGGCAGGACGATCGCCTCAAGTTCAAGGCCAGCCTTGAACTACATCTCGAGACCTGCCTCTCCGTGACCCCCCCCAAAAACAAACACCCATGCAGGTCAGACTGCCCGGAAGCACCCTCCGCAGCTGTTTCCCGCCTGGGCAGCTCCTCCATTGCAGCAGAGGCCCGGGACCCACACGGTCTCGGCTGGGCCCAGCTCTGGAGCTAACCCATTTCCCTTCCAGTCCTCCCGCGGTGGTTCAGGAAGCGGGGGCTGGGAAGTGACTGATAAACACCCCGAGCGCTATCTGCGAATCTGCGAACGGAGCAGGGAACATCTCTCACTGACAGTCTGTCTTCCTGCTTCCCTGTGGCACGCCCACCTTGCTGTCCTTCCGCAGGACAGCGACAGCTCTCAGCTGTGTGATATTCACAGGCGGGACCCCCACCCTGCCGCATGGGAGATTTCCAAGGGCCTGGAGGACACAAAGGTGACGGTGACGCCGATTCAGGAAACACTGCTTGTCCCTCTGCTGGGAGCGTGGAAATGTTCGCCATGAACAGAGGGAAGGAAGCAGCGGGTGGAGGAGCCTCCTTAGGAAGGGTCCACGCCTCATTCCCAGTCCCAAGGGTCAGCTGCCTTCCCCAGGATCCTCGCCAGACCGGCAGACCAGAGAAGGCCAACGGCTACTAGCTCTGTTCTCCCAACCCGGGGGCTCGACCAGCCCCGTTCTAGAAGGCAGGGAGCAAGGGTGACTCACTGCAGGCCCGGGCGGCCTCAGTGGCGGCCAGGGAGGGCTGCGGCTGTGTTTTGGAAGAATAAACCAGTGAACAGCCAGCACACATCCGTGCTGGGTCTTCCCAGAGACGGAAAACACACAATTACGTCTGTTGGCCTAAAAAGTTTTAACTCTTACACTGCCCATAAGCACCTCCCCCCCCCCCAGTTTCACAGCCTCAGTCACGGGACTGGCATCTTTCGGCACACGTGGAATGCACGGGAAGTCGTTCTGCTTTTAACAGAACTCAAGAAGAATGAAATTCTGCCATCTGCAGAAAAGTGGACGGAACTGGAGGCCCTTCTCGCGAGGGAGAGAAGCCAGGCCTAGAAAGGGCAGCGCTAAGGGCCCTCATCCTGAGGAGAAGCTGATCGCACAGAAGAGGCCAGGAGAACAGGGTCCACCGGGCACCACGGGAAAAGACTTAACAGGACTCAGGTGCCGCCGGACAGCAGGGAGCACTCCCCGTGCACTGCAGCAACACGACAGGACCAGAGTGGACAACAGCTCACTGCATGCTTCCCAGCAGCTCAGAGGATGCTGAGTGGCCCTACACAGCTGATAAACCAAGGTGACAGACACCGCCACCATCCTGATCTGATCCAAGTGCCTATGCACTGAAAGGTCACTCTGCACCCCACAAACAGGCACAGCTGCTAAGTGTCAATTAAACACGAAAAATACCCCGGGACGGGAGGTGTGGCTCAGGGTACAGCAGGCCACAAGCCCCAGGTTCCCGGCCCTGGGCAAGGCCTGCAGCCACCCAGGGTGGGCTGGGACAAGGTGGGCGCACAGAGGCCTAACTTCCCCAGCACACCCGCTCCTGGAAGCACAGGGGTCACGGGCCTACGCTGGTCTGCGTCCACTGCACGGTGCAGAACCTGGGTCAGACCTGGGACACGGGCAGGGGACTCTCCAGGGTGGGGCGGGCAGTGGCACAGCCCTTTCTGGCTGTGATAACAGCGAAGACCCAGGCAGCATCAGCCCTGCTGCTCCCAGGAGACTGTGGGCCGCGCCTTGCCCCACCGTGGAAATGCCCACGGTCACACGGGAGCCACCGCGGTGTCAGGGGCCCTCGCGTGGCGCCCCCCAGCCAGCAAGGGGAGCTCAACAGGCCGCACCCCGGGATCCTCAAGACGCCCCTCCCCAGACCCCCCCCAGGATCCCGGCCCAGGATCCTGCGCCCTGGGACCTCGCCTGCCCGGGCACCCCGGGGGACCCCAGCCCCAGCAGCCTCCGCCCCTGCCGCAGCCCCGCCCGGGACCCCGCCCAGGGCCCCCTCCCCATCCCCGCGCCCCCTCCGCGGCCGCTCACCGCCGTCAGGTCCGGCAGCCGGTCCCGCATCCCCGCCGGCCGGGCGGCGCGCCCCTCCACTCAGGCCTGTCCGGCGCCGCCTCTGGCCCGGCCGCGGGCTTTCAGTGGCCGCGTCGCTGCCTCAGCGCGCCACTGTCCCGGCCGGCCGCGCCCTCCCTCCGGCGGCGCTGCCACGGCAACCGAGCGCCCGCGCTGCGCATGCGCGACGCGCTCACAAGCCCCACCCCACAGAGGCGCCTCGGGAGGGGCGGGGCCTGGCCGGGAAGGGGCGGGGCAAGGGCGGGGCGGGGCGGAGAGGGACAGGGGAGAGGCGGGGCTGGCCGGCCAGCGGCCTCCTCCTCCCGCTGTAGCCGCTGCGTGAGGGGGCGGGGCAGGCTGGCCGAGGCCTCCGGGTCAGTGCAGAGGCCACGCCCGGGACGGCGGTCTGCTCCATCGGCACCGTGCAGACAGGCCTCCCACCTTCGGCAGAGGACTCTGCAGGGGGACAGAGTTCAGGCCACAGGAAGGACCAGGGACGCTGAGACCAGGACAGCCGGGAGAGACCACTTTGGGTGTGCTGGGGCAGATTTGCCCCCTCCTACTTCATCATTGTGAGGTTTGTTCATCAGTTAAAACCCTATTTCATGCATGTAGGTTGAACAAAAATTCTCCATTTTGGCCAGGCGTGGTGGCACACGCCTGTTCTCACAGCGCACAGGAGGCTGAGGCAGGAGGATCCCTGTTGGAGCCATTGAAGCTGATTACACGTGCAGGGCTGTGGCTTGCCTCAGGCATGGCTGAACTGAGAACGAGGAGTTGCCTGGGGGAAGGGGAGATAGACCACAGCTGGAGACTTTCTCCTGGATAGTTCTCCTTAATTAGCATCATCTGTTGCTCCAGGGATCCTTGAACCCCTTGGTCCCGCTCAGGTTTCCTGCATTTTCCACTCTAATCCCTCTTGTTTGAATAATTACAGGCCACCCAGAGACCTTGTCTGTCTCAGCCACCAAAGTTGAGAACTCTGCAAAGGGTTCTGGTCCTCCCGGGGCCCTAAAGATCACACCACTTGTCTCATTGGTTTGGGCCTTCACCGTGCACTCGTTTGGGAGACTGGGGATCTGGGACAGACCCCAGTAGATCACCATGAATTCGAGGCCAGAGAGACCTGTATCAAAAACCAACAAATTCCCTGTTTTGACCATAGCCTGTAAGGTGGGAGAAAACTATGCAGAACTTGTCTGAGAATGAAATTAATATGAAGGAAGTAAAATTGAGTGGGTATTTTTTTAAAGGAGGAGGTGGCCCTGGACACAGCAGCTGAGCATCACCTGAAACCAACATCCGGGGCTTGTGCAAACCAGTAAATATCCTTGACAGTTTCCTCACCTAGAAAGAAGCAGCCCTGACCCACTGCTACGAGTACGGACGCAGACAACAGATTGCAGACCTGAAGCAAGCACTTCTGAGTATGCCCAGGAGAGTGCTTAGTCTGTGTGCTCACTGTTGTGACCAGGGACTGCAGGATATCACCCACACACAGGCACACATTTGGGTGTTCAGAGTTGGCTATGCATTCTTGTATTTCTTGTCTTTATAACTTAAGAGATTCCTGCCCCATACCCGAGTTCTTCCCTCTGTGAAGTGGTGGGAATAAAGTTTTCAAGTTTAAAAGCTGTGAATTTCCAGTTTTAAGTCGTCAGTTCTTCTAGAACTGCTATCAGCCTGACAAACCATAAACAGCAAATAACATATCTTGAGTATTTAACAAACTTGTAATGTTTGTTATTCTCAGAAATGACACACAACTTTTAAAACAGCAAATCCTGGGCCAAGGGTGTAGCTCAGTGGCAGGGTGCCTGCCTGGCAAGTGCAAGGTCCTGAGTTCGAATCCTAGTACCAAACATAAATAAAGGAAACAGCAAAACACACAGGATAAAATGTATTATAAACTGAAAAAGATGGATTGAAAAATTGCGCCTGGTCAGCAAAAGAAAAAACAAACCTACATGTCATGGTCAGCTCTTGTTACTAGGATAAAGCACTTGACATCCCCAACTTTAAGAAGGAGAGGTTCATTCTGGTTCACAGTGTCACAGGGCCCCAAGCAGAAATGGCACAGCAGGTGGAGCTGCTCAACCATGGCAGCCAGCAAGAGAGGAAAGCAGAAAACCAGAGAAATGTACCCTCCCAAGGCACAGCCCAGGGCCCCTCCTGTGCTACCAGGCCGCTTCTCAGCAGCTGTGAATACAGCGGCGGGTTGATCCCCTGATGAGTACGGCACCCCGTGGTCTAGTCACTTTCCAAAAGCTCAGCCCAGACTCCAGACCCATGAGGCTTTTGGGGGAACATCCTAGATCTAAGCCATAACACTCCCATAACCAAAGCATGGGAAGGAATCAACAAGATAACAATCATGTGTGAAAGGGCCCACTGCCGGGAAGGCAGTTACCTTAAACTTGGTGAAAGAATCTAATCCTAAGGAACATTTGAAGTACACATTATGGCGCAGATAGATCACAGTGCCTAAGAAAAAGGCACACAGGTGCCTGCACGCAGCCTGGTACTCTCCAAGGACGGCGGCTGGGGTGTGTGAGCGGCGGGCAGAGTGAACAGATCACTGATTAACACGCCGACTGTGAAGTGCACCTGGAGAAGACCGACTTCCCGGCTCAGGTAGGGGCCTGAGGCTCAGCTTCCAGGAGCTGAGCTCCGGCCAGACCTAAGTCCCTTAGAAATGAAAGGGGCATCACTCCCGGGGAGCTACCTCTGCAGCCCCTAAAGCTCACTCTGATTGGGACCACCCTGGCCATTTGTCCAGCAGTGAGCCAATCGCTGGGCCTGATAGGTGAGAACTGGGTCACATGACCACACCGGACAGGGCGTGGCTCAAGCGAACCTCCGGATTCAATTTAAGGGCTTGGCTGGGTGCATCCTCAGACACTAGGAGGAGGACAAAGGGGTCTAGTGACAGGGAACCGCCCTGTGTCACTTCTCCCCCAGGAAGATTATGTGCAATTTGTAAGACAAGAAGACGTTAATGTCTTGTTAAACTGCACTGGGTAGGGCCGGGGATTTAGCTCAGTGGCATAAGTGCCTGTCTTGCAAGCAGGTAGTCATGAGCTCAATCCCCTGTACCAAAAAAAAAAAAAAACCAAACTCCACTGGGTAAGGGGACCTTGAACAACCTAACAAGGTTTCCTCTGGAAACCACCATCTTAATGAACTGATTAAGGGTGATTGAACACAGTCAGCACAAATGTCCCCCGATCCTGGGTGGACACCCAAGTGCCCGGCGCCTGTGGACCTCAGGCAGAGAAACAGCATCCCACAGTCAACAGCAATGCCAGGTGATTGCAGTCTTGATCGAGGCCCCAAGACGTTAGCGGAGATTACTGTGTAACCCATAGGTGCCCCACAGCTCGCCCCCACCTCGCAGCCACATCTTCCCTCTGTGATGCGCCTCCCCACGCAGGCTTCTTTCAGGGCAAGCACCTTCTTTCACGGCCCCTCCTTCCCACGCCACACCCTGGGGAATACAGGGCAGACTTGGCCCGCCAGAGGGAGAGGGAAATTGCGGATGTGGACAAGAGCGGGGTCCTGCGGCCCTGTTACCCACAGACAAACGCAGCCAAGATGCCCCGGGAGCAGAAGAGCAGTCAGATCCCAACAATGATACTGTGAGAGAGCAAAGCCAAAGAAATCCACCTGCGCCAGAAAAGGATCTGGTTGGCTCTGCTCTGGTCACCTCCCTTGTAGAGAAGACGCTGTCATTGTGAAATGGACCTAGTCATGCTGAAAGGCACCTTCTCTGGCCAGGAGCCGTCCTAGAAAAATGACAGAAACTGCCCAACAAGATGACATAGAGTCACTGCCCTGGGCCCCTGCTTAGAGCCTTACTGTGTCCCCAAAATGGTGACTGTGCTCCGTTCTACGGAAAAAAGAGTTTTTCCTGGGTCACCGGCAGTTGGACCAGTCCAGCCACACTCCCCCATCAGGCAGAGGCACAAGTGCTTGGAGGACCCCCAGGGCAGGATTCGGGGTGCCGTGCAGTCCTGAAGTGGGGGGCTGCCTGCAAAGACCTGAGGTTGCTCTGGGAGCTCAGGTGGGGCCCGAAGACACCAGCAGGTCAGGGGACCCCAGTCCTAGCACTGCAGATACTGAGTGCTGGACATGGCCCCTCCCTGTACCCCCAGTGAGAGCTGAGCCGCTGATTTTGATTTCAGAGGGTGACACTCAGTCAGCCAGACTTCTCACCTGCCCTGTCCACCTAGGCTTCCATCACTGTCCATACGCGGCAGCAAACTAACAGACACCCACTTAACCGGGCACTTGGCTCCTGGGGAGCAGGCTCAGAGCCCCGGACACAGAGCCAGGGAGAGGGAAGGAGGGAAGGGCTGAAGGCCAGGGCGTGTGATCTCTGCAGCCTCCCTTCCTAAGCCCGGGCCATCACCCCGCATCTGAACTGAACACAGGAGCATGCCCAAAGACTCCCGAACCACCTGGGGAAACACACCCGTGGCTCCAGGTGGGGCACTCTCTTCCCTGAAGCCCAGGATTCTCACTCAAGGACCAAGGCCATAGAGGTGCTTAAAGGCCTGGGTTCAAATCCCCAGCACAGGGAAAAAAAAAAAAAATATATATATATATATATATATATGGTCTCTGGTTTCTCCCTCAGGCCCTGGTCTTCCTCGTCCTGCAGCACCCAGCGTCACACCTTGATGATAACACTCAGGACGGCGTGGCCGGGTTTCCAGGAAGCTCCTGCAGCTGTGCGCAGCCACTTCTGAAGCCTCAGCGTGCACCATCGCACTCCGGCTGGGCCAAAGAGCAGCAGGAGCGGGGAGGGAGGGGTGCAGCACAAAGGGGCTCTGAGCCTTTTAAGGGGTACAGTTCCTGTGAACTGGGAGGCTGCCGGGCTTTTAGTTAGAAGAAAGGGGAGGCTTTATGAAAGCCAATGAAAAATCAGCCAATGAAAAATCTCTTTTTCTCTCTGAGATAAATAAGAGAAGCCACACCCTTCACACTAACAACCAAAAAAATGAAATATTTAGGAATTATTCTCATGAAAGAAGTGAAAGACCTATACAGGGGAAATTATAACACACTGAAAAAAGAAACTGAAGAGGATCTCAGAAAGTAGAAAGACATCTCTTGCTCATGGATAGGAAGAATAAACATTGTGAAAATGGCCATTCTCCCAAAACTGTTATACAGATTCAATGCAATCCCAATAGAAATTCCATCAACATACCTCATAGATCTCAAGAAATCACTTCTAAAATTCATCTGGAGTGAGAAGAGACCTAGAATAGCAAAGACAGTTCTAAGCAGCAAAGGCAAGGCTGGAGGCATCAAATCCCTGACTTGAAGTTATACTACAAAGCAACAGCAGTAAAATCAACATGGTACTGGAATCAAAACAGAGCTGGAGCTCAATGGAATAGATTGGAAGATACAACCACAACTACAAACACACTCAACCACCTTATCTTTGATAAAGGGGCTAAGCAGGTTCACTGGAAGAACGACAGTCTCTTTAATAAATGGTGCTGGAAAAACTGGCTCTCCATTTGCCGAAAACTAAAACTAGACCCATGCCTATCACCATGTACTAAAATAAAATCTAAATGGGTCAAAGATCTTAATATTAAAACAGAAACACTAAATCTATTGGAAGACAAATTGGGTAAAAACCTTGAAGACATAGGGGTAGGTAGAGAATTCATGAACAAAAATCAAACCACATGGGAAATACTTCCCAGAATCAATAACTGGGATCACATCTCATTAAAAAGTTTCTGCACATCAAAAGAAATCTCTGACATAGTGAAAAGAAAACCCACAAACTGGGAAAAAATCTTAGTGAACTGCCCCTCAGACAAAGGACTTCTGTCTAAAACATATAAAGAATTTAAAAAAATCAGACCCCCAAAATTCAAAGACCCAATCCAAAAATGGGCATCTGAGATGAATACAGTTCTCAGATGAAGAAATACAAATGGCGAATAAACACGTGAAAAAATGTTCATCAATACTCAGAAGAGAAATGTAAATTAAAACTACACTGAGATTCCAGCTCACTCCTGAAAGAATGACCAAGATCAAGAAAACCACCAACAACAAATGCTGGAGAGGCTGTGGGGAAAAAGGAACTCTCCTGCACTGTTGGTGGGAGTGTAGACTGGTGCAACCATTGTGGAGGTCAGTCTGGAGATTTCTCAAAGGGCTGGGATTGGAAGTCCCATTGGTTCCAGGTATTCCACTTTTTTTTTTTTTTATCAGTACCGGGGATCGAACTCACAACTGCCTGCTTGCAAGGCAGGTGCTTATGCCGCTGAGCTAAATCCCCAGCCCCCAGAAGCTATTCCACTTCTAAGCATATTCCCAGAAGAACTGAAAGCATCATACCACAGTGATATATGTGCACCCATGTTTATAGCAGCACAATTTGTAATAGCCAGATCTTGGAAACAACCTAAGTGTCCATCAACTGAGGAATGGGTAAAAAAGTTGTGGTATTTTTATACAGTGGAGTACTACTCAGCTATAAAGAATGATCACATTGAGATATTTATAAATAAGTGGGTGCAGCTTGAGACCATACTCATAAGTGAAATAAATCGAACTCACATGTATAAATACTGAATAGTTTCCCTAGTGTAAGGAATGGTAAAAA